TTTTTCACTGGCTCACAATTGCATGCATAATGATAAATTTAACAACAGTGACAACTGGTTTGACCCCAACAGTTTCCACTTAGGGACACAGGAACAATTTAGCACTACTTCTCAGAAGACTTCAGTTTGCCATTTTAATATTTAAAAGCAATTAAGAAACTAGCAATTAATTTGCCTAGCCTTTCGTCATCAGGGTCCATGTCTTCCAAAAATGTTATACTGATGTTGTATTCCCTGTTTCAATCTAGACAGCATGCTCACATGAGACTTCAGGAGACTCCCTGCCCTCCTTTAACACTGCCCTTTCTCCCATACAACACCACGGAAGAAATGAGGTGTCTGACAACTGCCCCATTCACATGGCAGCTCTTGCAGACCCTATAACTAATGCTTTAGGAGCAATTAAGAGAAAGTAGCTGATGATCCATTTCCCCAGATGAACAAGACTTAAAAAAAAAAAAAGGCAGCCAAAAAAAAAAGCACCTGTATTTCTAACAGAAGACAACTACAACAGACGGCCATTAACCTGCTTACCTACCCTTGCTTAATTTTTTAAAAATGAGCTCATCTTTCTCCACTTCATTTTTCTCCTCCCTCACCCATTCTTTTCCCAGACTGCGGCAATAATATGCTTTTATACTTTCCTTTTGACTGCCAGGGCCTTAAACTAATTATTAATTGAGAATGTATCTAAAGGATCTGAATGAGAAAGTTGGAATGAACCCAATTGCCTCCTTCCCCCTTTTATTTTGCATACTGTAGCACTAGATCTACCTGCTAGTACTGCTGAAAACAGCAAATGCGTTCTGTCAAAGGCAAGTTTCCTACCTGCTTGGGCAAAAATACACAACAATGAAAAAACAACATGGAAAAAGGCAAGTACCTGGAAAAGGCCTTAGCTTTGAATGACAGCCATTAGCTGCCCACAGAAAAAATTCTCTCAACAACTTTGCTGTCCTGTAGGAAAATCTTGCAGCAGAGGGCATCCTGCGTTTGAGAAATCAGACAACTGATACTTCATCAAAAGACTTGTCCTTTAAAGAGGCTAGAAAGGCATGACCTTACGCTGCCTGCTACTGCAGAGCTGGCTGGTTGTACAACACCGACTCATCTTGTTTCCAGTTGTTAAATTACATTAAAGGACAGCTAAAAATATATTAAATACTTTCCTATTACTTTTCCATGCAAGCAACTGCTATAGTTACATGAAGAGCAATGTCCAAGCAAACGCTCAGTAACACGGGGGGGCAGGGCAGGGCGAGAAGGGTGCAGGAATCCTTCTGACACATTCCAAATCAATAATGTAACATTGGGATTGCAAATGCAGAAAGATTATTTTTTTTAATTTCTTATAAGAACAAGAACTGGTGCATTTCTAATGATCAAAACAGGAAAACATTTACATTTTCCAAAAAGGTCAAGCAGATCTGAACTATGGTTTTAACTCCCCTCATGCCAAATTTTTGCCCTTTTTTTCCTCCTAAAATATACCAAAAGTTAACCAGTCTACCTGTAACGTACCATATACTAAATTCTGACAAATTCACGCTGATGTGCCCCATCTTCCCTGCTAGAGATTACCCACAAGTGAAAAAATAACAAAAACCAAAAACCAAGGAATACCTGTTTGAAGAACCTGATAGTCAACGTTTAAAACACTTGGTGACAAAAATGAGTCTTAATTGATTAATGATCTCAAGGTCTCTATCGCCATCTAGTGAGAACTCGCCACCACTACTACGCTGCCCACACAAATTGAACCTCGTTCCCCCGGCATCCCACACTCGAACCTCTCTGCTGGATCCAGCCTACACACAGTCCGAGCTGTAAGGCTTTGCTACACTTATATTGCATGTTTTAAGGCAAATAAAGCCAAGCACTAGCTCCTGTCTCGCTAAGGCTGACTGAAGAGAACTAAACTCTTACGGATCACATTCTGTCCTACCGCTATGATCTGGCTTATAAAAGGCCTTTCCACATCATATTTAATACTTCTGCCATCAATAAAGTGAACATGTCGAACACTAGCATAGTCATAAACAAGTTTTTTAAATGGCACTGTGTAATAGCAAGACTCTTCAGTCAACATTAGGAACCCCACGACAGCTCCGTTAGTTTCAGTGCATCGCCATTGCCAAGCCACAAAGAGGAGTCGCCGTCCAGGAGAGGTGGCATAAAGCGCTCGGCATCAGAAGGCTGCAGCACTCGGCCTTCCCACAGCTTCACTGCAAGGGTCTTCAGTCCCACAACTGGAAAGCAGCAATTTATGGACGTCATCAAAACTCATTTCCTCGCAGCTACGTTAAAACTTAATGTTACGATGAGCTTCAAGAACCTCTTTAACTTGAAATGTATATATATTTCCCACTTTCAATTATTCTGCTAGGGCTTACGGTTGAATTGTAACTGTGTTATTGCAAATATTAAGTTCAATTTTCATCCCACACAATATTTTTCCCCACTTTGACATCTACGAGCCTGCATTTATTCAGGTCCCCTCCACAACAGTAAAAATCAACAACAAAAGAAGTATAGATTACTGATTATCAAAAAGGCCATTTAAATTTAGAGCAATAACATTTTCCCTAACAGTTATTTTTTAATTAACCTTTTCATATAGGGAGCCCAAGTTTCCTGATACTTAATGTCCACCTCTTTCATATCAGCATTTGGCAGTAAGAGGAAACCTATGACTAGAAAGACGAAAAATACTACCTCAAAATTTTATATTAAAGATAAAATATTACACTTTTAAAAGAAGAAATGAAACAAACAAACAAACAACACCACCAACCAAAAAAACCCAAAAAACTCACCCCAGACAACTAAGGTATCCTCTTGTGTCATCTTTTATGGCAAAAACTACTACTCAGGAAATAAGGAACTAATAAAGCTATAACTGTTTATTGATTTCCTACCTAGAAAATGCACCTTTTCAGAACAAACATACATATACAGTGTATTTCATCAGAATTTATCAGACTTAGATGCACAAAATTACTGATCACTCTGAAATTTTCTCAAATTGTCAAAAGTTTGTTATCTCCGCAGTTCCCAAAGTAACTAATATTAATCTACCACAAAAGGATGGGGAAAAAAAAGATGGTTTTAGCTCTACAGGAGGTGCTGTACTGCACAGAAGAAACCTATCAAGACAGTAATGCCCCTCCGAGCTTGCAACTGGTGCTGCCAGATGCAGGCTTTCACTGGGATCTCTCTGCTGTGCCCCCAGCAGCCCCATTTCATAGAGGAACTTTTAGATCTGCACTCGGTACAACACGCTTCCAGGCAACCCCGTGCATTTAGTTTTCCTTAAACTCAGAGCAAACTACAGAACCGAAGAGTCAAATGTGTGCAAAGGCTTGGCAGAAGCAAGCCAAAATCTAAGCACCACCAGAATTTAAGAGGTAAGAAACCCTTTCCAATTCAAAATCAACTATATAAGAGAAAGTGTCTCAAAGTGCTCCCTAGCACATCTTGCACCATGTGTTTAGGATTTTCCCTTTCCACCACCACTTTGGAACACAATGCAGGATCACCAGAATTCAATGCACTGTTGTCTCATAACTGATAAGTCACAGAGAACTGACAATAAACTGCACATGCAACCAAAAAGTATTTCACCCCCCCTTAACACAGAGGTAATTGGTAGAGGTCCAGTACCCATACAATACCTATTTGGTGACAGGTGCACCTTATGACTAATGGAGATCATATTAAAAGAAAAAAAAAGTAAAATTTATGACTTCAAAGTACTGGTAAAAATATAAACCTATGATACTCAGCTGCTTTTCATGCCAGCCCCGTAGATAAATACACTAAAGTCTTTCAACAACAACAACAACAAAATATACCACTTTCTTAAAGGAAATGCCAACATCTGAATTCACATGGATGCATAACCCATGACAGTTATCAAACCTGGAAATTATCTCCTTGTTAAACGTGCGTAAGGTTAAACATCCTGCTAACATTAATTGTGAGGACAGCTAATGGAGGTTTGTCTCTGCAGAAATGTTTAGATGGGAAGACCTTTAAAAACAAAGATTTGTTACCAGAAACTGAGTGCCCTCATGGACATCAGCTGGGGGTTGCAAGTGGACCTTCAGTGCACTGGGTAGTGCACAGCAAGCAGAGCTGTGCCCTTAACGTCACAGGGAGCACACACGCACCTAAACATGGGCTGAAGCCATCCATCTTCCTCCTCAACTAAAAGGCTGAGCAGCCATCCTGACACATCTGTTCCTGGCAACTTTGCAGGTTCCTGCTTGGTATCCTCTTCCATAAAGAACTACTACGAAGCGCCATGAAAAAATGTGTTTTAAGATGCTGTGTATCAGTGGGACATTTTGGACCCAAAATGATTTTTTTTTCCCCTACTGGAACCAAACTCATGTGGTCTGCATTCAGCTGTCATCCTAATCAAAAGAAAGAGTGGTTTTCCCATAAAGTAAAAAAAATATCTTAAAATAAAATCTGGCCTCTTGAGGATAATGCAAAGCTGCATTTTAAGGAATAAGCAGTTTCTGAAAATTAGGCCTTGATACATAATCCATGGACACCATGAGATCAGTCAGCCCGGTCAAAAAATTTAAGAGATTCAAGAACTGGCCAAAGACAAGCTTGTCCAAAGCTGAAGCATACCACTGAATCAAGGACTAACCCATCAAGCAGAACTGGAAATTCATGGAAAATGCAAAAGCAGCCTTGGTTTTTTTTTTTGTCATCATAATCTATCCCACTGAAACTAAGCAGTTTAATTCAAAATAACACTCAAGCTACAGCTTTAATTTGTCATACTTCAAGACATTTATCAGATTCTCTTTTAGACATCAGTTTTGTTTTTTCCAACTTCTGCAGTACAAGACACATGAAAAGCCACAGTTTCAAAACCAAAAGCAGGTTCGAAAACAAATAAAGACCATTTTCCCATTCAATGAAAAAGTAGGTGGTTTAAATTCACCCTTTTACATGTGTTCATAACCTGCTTAGTGACTTACCTCTCTCCCTTTATGTGTCACCAATGCAGCCAAAGGCTTGGCATAAAATCTGCTGTAGGAAAATCCCAGGCAGCCGTACATACTGTTAGCAGTGAGTTTCAAAGCTTTCTGTCTGATATCATACTGAAAAGAAACATAACCAGCAAAAATGATACAACCATAGCCAACAGAGAACAGAGCTTAATGCTCACAATTACATTCATAGCTTTTTATATAGTCTGCAGCAATGATGGGCTACAAGTAAAGCACATTACAATCACTGCTCACTACTAATCATCCCTATTCTGCAAGGCTGATCAGTGCCCTTAAGGGGAGTGGGAGGTAAAAAAATCAAAGGAGTTCCTTAAAACACACCTGTAAATAAAGGTCAGGATTTAAATCTGGCTGTTTCATTAACTGCTTAACTTGACGCCGTCTCTCCACCAGTTTCCTGATTTCTCTAGGCAAAACTCCCATTTCCAGAGATGGATCTGGAAGCTCTGGAATTTCTTCCTCTTCTTCAACCTGTCAAATGACCACAACTGCTTACCATTTTTTTCCTTGAAGATTACGTTTTCATGTGTTAAGTGAAAAGCCTGGGGGGAACCAAAAACAAAAGAAAACAAACACACAACCAACCAACCAACCAACAAAACCAAACCACACAGTTTTTATCCACTCCTGCAAACCAGTTTAGAACACTAGGCATGAATTTTTTTTGGTGGTATTTAAGTGTATTACTTAGCCCCTACTGGGGGACAGGGACTAAGCTTGTCTCTGTCTGGGAGAAACACAAAAGAGAGACATGGACCAGTAACAGAAAGATTTTTTTCTTTTTAACACATGCACGCATGTGCATTACATATGTATTATTACATATGAATATCTTTCTATATAAAAATACATATAAATAAAAGTATATATCTCTCAAAGCATGTGTGTGTGCATAGATACATGTGTATCTAGAGAGACGTAAAAATATAAATAAAAGCACACACACAAGCCATTTTTTCTCTGCTGAAATACTCCATTCTTCTTTTTATTCCTGCATAAGGATTTTTGGTGTTCAGAACTGTAAAATGGACCACATGGCTCTGTGAAACTGATACTTCAAATAAGGTAACTGACAAAAGGGAAATGGACCGCAACAACAGAATGAAAAGCTGTTTTGCTCAGGGTGAAGTTAACATTCTTGTTACTATGACCAAGGAAATGGTTGCCCAGCAAAAATGGAAAGAAATTTCAACCATCATGAAATAACAGAAATACACAGAGAGGGCAAGAGAGACACTATGAGGCTGGCAAGTTTAGTAAAGCAGGCTGGGAAGAACAGTAACAAGAAATTACACCAAAAGCTGATTAAATATTATACAGTGATAGAAATCAAAATGAGCTGCTTCAGTCTGAAGCACATTGAAAGTTGGGTAAATCCAGAGAGCTTGGAAGAACTTACTGCCAGAGTTCCACATACTTTTTCACCTCATTTCAGCTGTGGTACTGATATTTCAGTTGTTGTTACAGGTCTAACAGTGTCCCATAACTACTTATGGACAACACACTAATTCCAACCTGTGAGCTGATCCCAGTTAAAAATAAAAGCCTCAGGTTTAACCTTTAGGCCTGACCAGCTCACGACTTCAGTTTACAGCACAGCTCCACCAAAAACTGTGCCAGCACAGCTGAGGAAATGAGAGTAAGCAGCCAGGGATAAGCCATGGCCAGCACAGCTGCTGAGAAAACAATACACAGAACTACACCACCTTCAAGAGGTTTTTTAGTTGTATTTAACACAGTTTAATGCTGTATCGACCAGCATGAATTGCAGTGAAGCTGGTCCCGCAGCTGACATTGTCACAGCATCATTCCCTGACACACATCTGCATGACACACACATAGTTTTCCTGATGTCTAATAAGGGTTGAGCTCATAGTGCATTCTTTCCCCCAACCAGAAGCATGAGACCGGTGTCTCCCTCATTCAGGTACATCTGCATGAATTCTGCGGCAACTTGACTTTAAGAATCTTATACCAAATTAGGATGAAATTGGTCAGGAGACTCAGAAACTGCTAGGACCACCTGAGGGTGAAAAAGACCAACGGAGCCTGACCAAAACATCTTGTTTCAAGGGGATACCAAGACTTTATTTAGATGGGAAAGAACTCACCAAGGTTCTAAAAGAGTTTTATGGAAAGGAAGATGACAAACTTATAATACCCAAAAAGTCACAAACCCAAACTTACTATGATGCATCTTTAAACAAGAAACACTTTTTGTAAGTGTGAGAGAAAAAAAAATCAGGAGTGAAAAAGAACAGTTTCTTAAAAAGCTGATTCACAGAAAAGACACTGAAGTTAAAGCAATGTAACTTAAGTCAAAGTCAGAGCACACAAACCTCTGCCCTTTTCTGTGCTTCTGATGACAGTCGCTGCACTGTGGTAAAGCAGATGTTAAACTCCTGGATAATTGATGGGTACAAGCTGTTGAAGTCGAGAAGCAAAATAAACTTGTCATAAAAACCTAAAAGAGTTTAAAACAAAAGTCATAATTACTCAGTCTCCCTAAAGGACTTCATCCAACTGCACAATTAACATTTAAGTGAAAGTAATACATTGTACCACATTTGGAGCATCTAAAATCTCTCAAAGCAGCTGCTGAGATGCACCATTGCAGAAAGCTGTCAGAAGTGGAACGATCCAACCCCATTAACTCACCAGAGTTGAACAGATACCTTCTGTGTTACTATAGGACACTTGTACAGTTTTCCCCACGTAGAGAGGAAACTGAAAGAAAACTTGCGTGTCCATTATACAGAAATAAACTATACACAAATATGTAATTCTTATTCCTTGCAAGAACATAATCTTCTCACAGAAAACTAAGAAAAAAAAAACATACCAAGAGTAAGTAATTCTACAACCAATGCTGGGAATTTTCTTGTGGGGAAAGCCCCCATCCATCCCCCTCCAATCCCCCCAAACCACCACTTACCGACTTTGGGATCCAAGACTAAGCCCCCAGCATATGCTGCTTTCTTTCTCCCTATCTTTGATTTATTCTGATCTTCAAAATCTTCATCTTCATCCACCTACATTTGGCATTTAAAAAAGTCATTATCTAGTCTCTAAGTTTTCTATAATGTTGGAGGAGTTATTTTTGGCAAATCAAATATGAAACTGGGAGCCAGTGCATAGAGTTCCTTTTAAAATACATGCAAAACATGGAGTTTTCATCATGATCATTATATTAAAGCTCTCTACGTGTCAAAACAGTATTCAAATCAACTCCTATAGGAACAAACTGGTAACAAGAGATTACAAAGACCTTAAGGAATTGTCATCATTCAACACAGCACTAGTATGCATTTTCTGGCTGCTGTTAATAAAGTCAACACTAGGAAAAAAATCAACTCACGACCCAGAAGAATTATCATTGCCCAATTAAAATATAATTTTATGTAGTTTTTGGATATACAATGGCCGGGCTTTAATGAAACAAATAAGAACATTTTTACTGATCTAAAGAGTATTTTGCTATTTGTTTTGTTTTAGTACAAGTTTCTCTAGCGGTTGTTCAATGCCATTCTGAATCATTGCCATTCCAGCAATTCCTCTGGATGCAACAAGACTTACTGCTTCAGAAACTGCTGTTGAACTTACTTCAAACTAAACAGCAAAATATAGCGAAATAGAAATGCATCCTCAAATTTTCATTTGTCTACTAACAAACATATATATGTTTTCATAAACACATTTACACTGGTATTATACATTTACACTGGCATTATCCAAGGGAATCTTTTTTTTTTAAATACCATTGGATATTTTACCCACATTCTCAAATCACGTATCTTACAGATTACAATTGAAATCCTGTATAACAGCAAAATAATTGTATGGCAAATGTGCATTTATTAAGCAACACAGACTATCTTCTTCTTTAATATATACCTACACAGGATAGTACTTAGCTTGTAAGTAAGATAAGTACTTAGCTTATTTCAATTTTAAACTAAAATAACAACTGAGTTTCCAGAGATCTGTGATACAATAGAAAAGGTGTTACACTGTCCCTTTATACCACACATTTTTCCATTATCAAGTCAACAAATACAATGTTTAATTAATCATGAGCTGTAACATTAATCTGTATCTAAGACTGACTGTGTTTGGGTTTCCAGTACTCTCACAGAAAGGTAATACGCAAAAGATAGAAGAATGGTTTTTTCTTTATAAATAAAACTTAAGAGTTAAAAAGTAGACCCACCAGTTTCTGTGAAGGCTTTTTAAAAACTTGTTTGTCCGGCACTATGTAGTCTTTTTCATGAAATGCATGAAGCAGCAAGAACTCATTACGTTCAGATCGTCCACCCATCATTGTTCTCGACTACAGAGACAGGCAAAAAAAAAATAATTCAAAGCACTGCACTGAAAACACTGACATACAAAAACAGACTAAGCAACGTCTTTCAACTACTTGTATGTTCACTTAGCATTACTATTATTCTATAACATCACCATGTACAAAACTACTTGACTAAATCATCAACCTCTCAGGCTTATCACAAAAAATTCGCAGCACAATATATTTCCAGTTACTGTTTACCAATTAAAACTAGCAAATCAAACACAAAAAACACAGGATTGTTTTGGTGGGACAATGGTGGAGGGGAGTAATAAAAATGTACCATGACATTCCCAGAGATGTTTGTTATTTGAAGGGCCAGCGGCAGAACATTCAGCTCACACATGATTTGGAGAATGAACTTAGCATCTGTCCAGGTGTTTTCCAGCATGAACATTAAGTGAGGTGAATCACTGGGAAAAGAAGAAAGATGGCCTAGTAAAGTAAAATCGGGTTCCTATGTACTCTGTAGTAGTTTAAACCTATACACTGTGTGGAACACATGGGATCTGTAGCACACCAGTGTTGAATTATAGCAAGCTCTTTCAATTGAAAAAAACCCACTCAAAAAAACTCAACCAAAAAACACACCCACACCTCAAGCTGGCATATCTTATTAGTGTATCTAAACCAATGCTCTCACAAATCAATTTACTTTGCACATAATAAGCCACCACCCACCAGTAGCTTCAAATATTATAAAATACCGTTAATACTATATTTTGCTTTTCAAGTAGCAGTATGCAAAGTCAGCACCTCCATGACAAATCAAATAAGCAAGCAAGAAACTGCACAGCAGGAAACTAAATAGCTCCTCCACTTTCCAGTGAAGTATTGAAAACACGAATCAGTGACATACCTGTACATATTTCGAATCTCCTCTGGTGGAATTGTTGTCCTTTCTGTTTTCAAAATCTGACGGACCAGTTCAGACAAATGGTAACTTTTGCAACGAATTAATTCTTTAGCAGAAATTTCCACGTCACAGATCATTCGACCGCAGGCAGCATTCCTTTCAGCAAACCCTCCTCGACCCTTAACCGTATGACACAAGGAGAGAAAGATCCAGACAAAACGAAACGTGCAAACATTAACGGAGAGAGAAAATATATGCTTATAGGACTTAGTCAAATCAGTTGCTCACTAAATACTCTTAATACTCTAAATATTCTGCTAAATACCATTAATACTCAAGCTTTATAATTATGCCTTAAAGGAAGCCATGCTATCTTTCAGTATACATGGATATTAAAAAGTAGATACTTAACTCTCATTACTAGTTCAATCTTAATTCTATTAACTATCATGCTTTTTTTAAATATAATTAATAACTAGGACAGTCCCAACAAGAATATGGGTGTGGATTTTGTTTTTCCTTTAAGGATAATTTTTGTACTAACAGCAGGACAAAAAAGTCACAGAACAAACCACACACGAACACTTATCTTGGCCTCCAGAAAGGACAGGAATGGGCAACACCACAGCCACATTCAGCACTTCAAAACTCCAAGCCTCACACATTGTCCTCTGAATAAATATGTACTAAGTAGTACAGAATTATTAACTTAGCAGCTTTCCACGGGATGATTCACCAATCAATCCAAATTACATTTTTTCATTTTACAGTTATAGCAGACAAAGACTGTTACAGTAAAGGCTGTTGCAATTAATCTGTCATTACCATCCTCTAGTTGAGATATGTAAACTAAATTAGCCTAACTTGAAAATTAGTTTAGCTTATTACTGTAGTAAAAGTCATATAAACACTCATCATTTCTGATCTGGGACACGTGAAATCCAGAATGACCAACAGTCAAAATACATCAGTGTCACATTTACAATTCCTCAGCAAAATTAATTCATTTTTAATCACATGCAACATAAAGGGGTTTAAAAGACTTGAGCAAACTTATTACCCCAAGCTTTGGCATATTGGACCTCCTCAGTCGACCTATCTTGGACCAGTGAGGGACTTTGCACACATTAATTCTTTGAAGCAGCACTTCGAGATCAAATCCATAAATATTATGACCCTTGCAGCAGAAAAAATAACCAAAAAAGGTTACAACAAATGCAAATTTAAAGACTTACTTTCACACACTCAGTATTACTTTGCCCTTTGTGTTTTTTTCCAACTAATTGATGGCATTATCTCTCTCATATAAAGCACTTTCTAAGAGAACATTCATCAAAAGTACTCATTAGTCTTAACACTAACAATGCTGTTCAGCAGAATACCAAAATCAGCTCTATAACTGGCTCATAGCACACACAACTCAGCTTTATGCTTTGATACCAGAGATTAGGATTTAAAGCTTTCTAGAAAAAAAAAAAAACAACAACAAAAACGTTCTTTATACAGCAAATAATATACTAGGGGAGATGCACTGCTGGATCTCATC